TTATTGATGAATGTATGCAAAAAAGATACAGGATATCAATAAAGAGGAGCTTGGAGCTAACAGGAGCTCCAAGCGCCAGTTGGTGAGAAACCAACAACAAAACAAAAAAGAAACAGAAGAGAAACATAACAGACTAACAAAACTTCACCCAAGCTACACAGCAGGGTAGCACTACAGACTACAACATCACTACGAACTTCACACAAACTTAAGGAACAAAACCATTGCTGCTACCAATCCGCTCGACTTAAAAATTTGGACAGCAACTAACCGTAACACACAAGATTGCAAAAAAGAGAGCAGAGAATCAGACTGCAGATCAGACTGCATAACAATCAAATTGCACAACAGATCAAACCTGCAGCAGCAGTAACAGCAAAACCACTAACAGCAACACTGCAGAGGTGTTCACAGACCAAAATTATTTTACCAAAACAGAACTGACATTGGAAGCAGTCCCCAGCAACACGAAGTATAACTGTTCAGTGGCACCCACAGACAAAATAGAGCAGCAGGCAGTGCATGTGCTTTGACCAGAATTGGACTGCCAGAACACAGATAGAGCACTGATGCACAGCTAGACCAAACCAGCAGACAGAACAAAAAAGCAGGCATGCAGAACAAAATAGCAGAACATCAACCCAGATAGCACACTGACAGAGCATCAACCCAGATAGCACACTGGAACATAACATCAACCCAGTTAGCACTAGACTGAATCTAGAGCACTAAATTCCGCGCCTAATCTGTCTCCAATTGTAGACGAGATCATCAACTGAGTATGGGAATTCTTTAATGGAAGCTTTGAGCCAAATGGCAGATCTGAATTTTATAAGATCTAACAGTCCTGAAGAAGAGGGTTGTGCATTAGAAAATACACAATCATTTCTGAGTTTCCAAATAGACCATAGTACAATTAAGGGGATTGCTCTCCATAATAGTCTGTCAAAATTATAGAATTTCCAGCTCATCCACCAATAAAGCAGGCCATCTACAGACTTAGGAATGCACCAATGTAGGCCCCAATCCTCAATAACCACTGACCATATTGACCAAGAGAAAGAACAATGAAGTAGTACATGGGGAGCAGTTTCTACTTCAGAGTTGCAAAAGTGGCAGAGGGGAGAAGCATTGCTGTCAAGAGAACCAATCTTGAGCAGAAAATCAGAACATTTGATTCTAGATTTCCAGGCTAGCCAGGTGAAAAAAGATACTCTGGGGGGCAAAAATGAATTCCAAACAAATTTGCTAACCTTGAGATGAGGGCCAAAGAGAGATGAGTGGTGAGAATAGAAAGCAGAAGCAGAGAAGCTTTGACCAGAATCTGTGCACCATACGAAGCAGTCTTCACTATCCAAACACAGAGATGGAGCAGAGGATAAGAGAGCATTCAGTCTCACCTCTTCAGCCAATTCCCATGAATATAACTCTCTTCTATGGGGGAGATTCCAAACAAATGGACTTGACCTCCTTGCGTAATAATGATTGAGGGAACCTTCCTTATCATTTGACAAATTGAAGAGGAGGGGAACCTTCCTTATCATTTGGCTACCACCATTGTTACCATCTCCACTTCGTGAGCCTCTCATCTATCAACAACCCCCTTATTGAAACCCTTTATCTCCTTATCTCTATTTCTTTCTCTCAGATATATGGTTTCGAAAGTGGTAGAAGAGGGTGTAACCTAGTGTTTTGAAGGTAGTGGGGGTAACAAGAGTTGTGATAGTTGGAGGGAGGGAAATAGTGTCAAATTTGGGAAAGACAGTGGTAGATCTAGGAGAGGGGGTGGCTGAGAAGAAGAGTGGCTAGGATAGTAGAGGGTTGGCAGAGAAAGGGGCGACAAGGGTTGTAAAGGCATAGTGAAGAGGGGCGACATGAATGTAGATAGTTGTGGGAAAGCAATGGAAATGGAAGGCGGTGGAGGAGAAAGGTGACAGTGGGCACCAATGGCGAGTTAGGAAGAATGGTGCCAACAAGAAGTTGGAATGGATGGTGTTGGTGACAATGGGCAGCAAGTGGTGAAGATGTTAGGTGAGTAAAGAAATTAGCGTTTCAAAGTTTTAGGGTTTAAAATGTAATTTTATGTAAGAACAAAATTGTAATAAAAAAAGGATTAATTATACTTTTCACCCAGTAATTTGACCCAAATTTCACTTTGGTTCTTATAATTTCAATTTAAACAATTTGATCCCTACACTTTAAATATGGTTTCAATTTGGTTCTTCCATCTAATTTTTTGTTAATTTTGTTCATGTGTACATTTTAAAAAATTAACAAATATCTCAAAATTGTTAAATTTAATCTCTGATTTAGATAGAAAGAAAATTGAAGCTAAACTTCAAATGTATGGACCAAATTGTTCAAATTAAAACTATAGAGGCTAAAGTGAAATTTGAATCAAACTACAAGAGTGAAGAATGCAACTAAACCTTAAAAAAGGTATAAAATAAAGAAAAATGATCCGTAGCTCGAAATTCGGAGGCCGGAATTTGGCTCGAAATCCAAAACGACATTTTTTTTTTCTCCTTTTCTTGCTTTTCGAATAGAGAGACAGAAAAGAGAGAGAGAAGGAGAAAAGAGAAAGAGAGGAGGAGAAGAAAAAAAGAGGAAGAGAGGAGGCGAGAGAGAGGAGAGAAGAGGAAGAGAGAAGGAGGCGGTCGATGATCAGCGGTGATGGCAATCGGTGATGGCGGTCGGTGATGTCGGTGATCGGTCGGTGATGGCAGTCCCCTTTCCAGTAGATCTGGATTTGAGGATGAAAGGGAATTTTTTTTTTGTTGATGAAGATGATGATGATGTTGAAGATGATGATGATGTTCAAAATTTGAAGATGATGGAAAAAAAAAAAAAATTGTTGATGAAGATGTTGATCTGGATTGAAGATGAAGGAAAAAAAAAAAAAAAATTTGTTAATGAAGATGTTGATGATGGTGATCTGGATCTGCAGAATCAGATCTTGTTGTTGATGTTGATGAACAAAAAAAAATTTGTTCAGAAAAAAAATTGTTGACGTTGATCAACAAATTTTTTTTTTGTTGTTGTTGATGTTGATGAACCCAGCAGCCAGACCCAGCTCCTTCTTCTTCTTCTTCTTCTTCTTCTTCTTCTTCTTCAGAAAAAACGCGGAAAAAAAAAAAGACACCAAAACGACGTAATTGTTCAAATTAAAACTATAGAGGCTAAAGTGAAATTTGAATCAAACTACAAGAGTGAAGAATGCAACTAAACCTTAAAAAAGGTATAAAATAAAAGGTGTAGTGTAAATAGAATAATGTCAATTAGACATTTTGATAATAAATTAGTAAAGATAACATTCAAATTTAATAGAAATTAGGTGTAATCTTAAAGTAAAATAAGACTTATTAACAAACATTTAAAAAAAATAAAATATTCAAATGATAATAAATTTTTGATGTAACACTAGCAAACATTCGCTCAAGGGGTGATATATATATTGATGGATTAGGAAATTTATGTGGAAAAGTTTTAAGTTTACTTGGGCACCCGTTCCCGATAAATTCTCGCCACACTGCCACACCCCCTGGTCTCACTTCCCCAACATTTGGAATATGAATCGCTCTTAGTATTTGTTTTTCTTTCTACATTATTATGGGCTTACCCTGATGAGTTTACAGAATCTGAGCTACCCTGAGTTTACACAATTGATTTCTTCTATTCAAACAACATCCAACCTAACTTTTGTGAAGAGGAAATACAATTTCTTTTCCTTTACAAACCAAATTCCTCTGTTGTTAAAATTATTTAATACCCAGCTGTCATTTAAATTATGCTCTTTTGATCTCACAAACAAGTTGACAACATAATGCACTAGTAGAATATAAATATATAAGAAGAAAGAAGCTAAAACTCGATAACCAGACAACTTAAGGGAGATAAGAGAATTCAAACACCAAGACATCTCATGAGGGTTTTGATGCAGTGGAGGTTACTAAATTCCTTCAACCCCAGGCTTCTAGCAAGCGCAAGAGAGAGCGGTGTATAGAAGACAACTTTAGTAACCCAAGTCTTTTTCAAGCTCCTCAGCGGATTACTCTTTTTACTTAGTAAGCTTGTTTATTCTTGTTTTACTATTTTCAATTTTGTGTTTTATGGTTTCCTTGCAGGGATTATTACTGTCGCTGGTTTGGCAAGCTTTGTGGTTCAGTTTCCTCTCGTTACTGGAAATTGATCGTGTGCTAGTTATGTGAGTCTAATCTACAAGGAGGATATCTTGGCACAACTAATGGATTGTGAAGTGCAGGCTTGGTGTTTATGGTGGTTTGTGTTGGATGGTGTCTTGGCTTATGTTATGTTTGTGTGCTGCTTTAGGTTGATGATGTTTTTTAAGTTCTGGATGGTTAAGTCTATTGTTAGATTTGTTGCCTTCTTTTCATGTATTGTTAACTCTTGTATTTTCTTCTTTCTTGAAATGAAATGTAAATTCAATAACAACTAATGAATGCTCTCTTTTTCTTTCAGTCATTTCGTAAACATCTCCGCCATACATTAAAACATAGTAGAATGCTATGATCGCTTAAAAATGTGGGTCTTGTTAACGTGTGCATCAAAACCTAGTTGAAATGAATCGTTGTTTACAAAGAAACATGTATAAACAAAAACATTTTAGATACCGAAATGTAAAGACATTTATTTTCACAGCATTTCTAAAGGCCCATCCATCCTCTGGAATGAGGGCACATTACTAGAAAATGGAAATGAAATTATCACTATGTACATGGGCACAGAATTGACAGATATCTATTAATCCTCAAGAGCATTACTCTTTTTACTTTTCTGTACATCTTTTCGTAAAAAGTCAAGAAGTTACTAAAATAGATTTGTTTCCAAACGAGACCTTAGTGTGATAAAGTAGTTTACTACTTCCCGTTCAAGTTCTATCAATAACCAAAAAAATCAAACAAGTGACACGTAAACATATCTGCTGCTTAAAATTGCAGAAAACAAAAGCAATAAAAATTTCAACGCACAAAAGTTGCATGGGAATGAAAAAATGTATTAATATTATAAAAAAAATGCTTGTTTCTTCAAAAGCTATAAAGAGCTTAATCCTCATGGACTCATTCTGTTGTCAGCCGCACAAATAACCATTTTTCTAGTGGTGATTATCACAACCTTGAGGGGTTACATTACACTTATCACTACAACACATAAAATACAGTTTTTATTTCTTTCTATCTATTACAAATACAAATACACAAACTCACCTAGAAGAAGAAGACGACGCTGCAAATGCAGATTTAGTTTGCCTTTGGCTCACTTTCATGTACAAACCCTGCAAAAATAGCACAAATTTAGGACAAATTACAGAGTAAATAAAAGTCACATTCCAATTTGATCATGGACCATTCAATTTCTTTTTCTCCTTTCCCTGTCTCTTTGTCAACAAATTGATACCGTACAAACTTTTTGTTGCATCAAAACCAAACACCAGGATTCATGTATAATAACTAAACGGACCTTTGGGATTAATTCCGATCAGATTTAGACCCAAATCAATCTCAAACTAGGTTTTAATCCACTCTGTTGACAGTCTCTTTTCATTTTAAGTTTAGATTTAAATCGAATTTGAGTACTCTATTTTACCAACTGCTAACCTGTGGAACTCTCATGGCTTCTTACTGAAAAGCTAGAAGGCCCTGACAAGGAACTAATCCTTCAGCCTTGGCAATCTAAGGTTTGCCAATGGCTTTTTGGTGGCTTTTTGGCCTAAAAGCTGATGTGTTCGGGAATTGCTAAAAAAGTTGATTTTTTTTTTTTTTTGGTTAGTGGAAAAGTTGACTTTTTTGGCTTTTTAATTGCTATTTTTACTCTTCCAAAATAGGTTTTTGCTTTTTGGCTTATTTAACTCATCCCAAACAAGGTATAACTTTTAAATGAGTACTTGGGAGCAGTTGAACAAAAATGTTATAGATAGTACATGTTCTGTGTGAATAGTAGCTCCAGTAGTCATGCTAATGTTCTGATCAGGAACCAATTCAAAATCCATATGCTGTACAAAGATTGCAAGAGCAACAATGGCTTCCAGCAAAGCAAATTGATCACCGATACATTTACGAGGTCCTCCACTAAATGGGATGAATCTGCAATTGTTAATTTCCCAAATTAGATCAAAATTGATGTTACACGAGACGTATAAACACGAAGCATCCATCTCAGTCCATGCAGAGCCCAAAACAAAGGAAAGATAAAAAAGATTTATTTGAAATGAACACCTGAAATCCGTATTCGTTTCATTAGGCATTGGACCATCCAAGTCAAATCTTTCTGGTGCAAACACTTCTGCTCTGGCCCAGACCTAGTGCACCAGCAGAGAAAGTGGAATGCATCATTTAACATTGTAATGACATGCATAAATGACAACAAATTGGAGGACATGATGGAAAATTGTAAATTTTGTTTCTCACTTCCAAACCTAGGAGAACCAAATTTGAAATCTCAACTTTTATATAACACACATACATAATCTCAGAAAATAATGAGGGTTGGACTTCAAATTATCTCCCTCCTTTTATTTGTCTAACAATTAAGCATTTAAAGAATTCATATCATGTTTCTCGGCAATGGACTGAAGTTTAACATCATTAAACAAAGGATCCACTAATTAGTTGAAAAGGAACTTTTGATTCAAGTATGTTTACCTTGATGTTCTGTACTCAACAAAAAATCAGGAAAGGGGTTTTTAATCCTAAGTAGGTAATCACAGAGAGAGAGAGAGAGTTACTTGTGGAGCAAGCCAATTTATGGGACAATTTCAGTAGTCTAAACAACTTTTTAATAGCTGTTTAGATTTGAAAGTGAAACACCGGAACGGATTTGACAAATAATAGATATTCACAATAGAAGACCCACTTTTAATTGACTCTCACCATAAACACAATACCAATAACAATCGAAAACACTCGTCAATCTCTAAGATATGTAGAAATTAATGTAATACCTGAGGGGAATGATGGATGTTATAAACTGAAATCATTATATCTTGACCAGGATTAACCTTGTAATTTCCAGGAAGCACATCAGCAACTTGAGCTCTTCGTAATAAGACCTAGTAAAATTAGGGCATGTTTGATTGAATGGATTAGAGCATGGGATTGAGATTATTAATCCGTGGGCCTAATTATCCTACGTTTGTTTTAATATTTTGGTTTAGGATTATTAATCCAATGGATAATTAATCCAACAAATTTGTAGGATTATTAGTAATGGGGTAGGGGTGGGATTATTAATCCAATGGATAATTTATCCTATTAATCCAATTGGATAGTTAATACCACACTAATTTTGATAGGATTATTAATACCTCACTCTTAGTCTTGTGAATCAAACATGGCCTTCGAGTTTTCAGGGAAATATATCAGAAAATAGAAAAATTTTGGTTTACAATTTACTAGAATACAAGGAAAAGAGTCGCAGCTTACAGGAGGATGTGGGTAGAGACGAAGTGACTCATTTATGCAACGAGTTAAGAACTTGAGATTCTTAATGTCTTCATAGGTTGGGGACCTTCCCTGTAAAACTCTATCCACTTCCTCTTGTGCTTTTGATAAAGAGGAGGGGTCCTGCATGAAAACATTTAGAAATAACAGACTAATTTAAAGTCCATCGTCGTTTTTTTATTTTTTATTTTTTTGGACCAAAAAAATAAAAAAACATAAAAGATTTACACATCTTACTCAAATTTACCATGAACTTAAAGTAGCAAAAAAAAAAAAAGAACAAGCCAAATTTGTCCACAAAATACTTGGCTGCCCGCTAAAGATTCTAAAAACTACAAAGAAAATAAGAAGGGACGCAAAAACAGAGACGGGTTGAAAACATCAATGGCTCAATCTTTACTACAGAGTAGAATAGCATAAAAAGAATTTGATTAAGGCACTGATACTGATAACTATGATAGCAATATTAAGATAACGTTACATTACGTACGTATGATGTGTGATAAATATCAAATGATAAATAATCTCTTTGATGTAAGATATATTTCTCGGGCTTGCTGTGGGTCAGAATATGTCAAAGTCATCAGTTTGGTGCCCTTTAAGGTCTATGACTACTTAAGCTTTTGAACCAGTGATACACAATGGAACTAGATGATTATGACAATGTGATAAACAGTTGATCAAAATAACCAAGTTTGGCCAAAATGATAATAAATAATCAAATAAATAAACCACTTTCCTCTTTGTCATTTGACGCACTACTATTAGACTTTGAATCAATATCAAGCCAATCCTCAAGAAGTATAGAATCTACTATGGTAAACAACAGAAAAGGGAGACACAGATCATTTAGATAAAAAGTAAACTCATTAAGATAAAAGGTACTATATGTAATACCTTGCTCAGAAGATATGCTGTCCAAGTCAACACTGAACCAGTAGTCTCATGCCCAGCAACTAACATTGACAAAAGATCATCTCGTAATTGTATGCTTGATACCTGCAACACAGTGGCACAAATGTAGAAACAAAGACCAAAACAATAAGAGCAAAACCTTGCATGTCAATTTATATGTGAAGAAGCCCATTAAACTGAACAAAATATGTTATCAACCCAATCAAGCACAAGCATAACCAAATTTGGATGGCAAACTTAACTATCTTTTAGTTTATTTTTGACAACTACACCAAGCTTAACTATCAAACATCGCAAAACATGAAATACTGAAAAATGAGGGCACCCTAAAATCAAATGCTTGACTTCATTCCATTTCATTTTTGTCTACTTTGGGGTGTCAAATCTGGGACCAAACAGAAATTTGGGTCTGCTAGTGTTGCGCAGACCCTGTGCTGCAAAACCCTCGATTTTCTTTTCGTAGTGTTTTGGCTGCAAACATAAGCGCTCAGTTATGCTAGAATCTAAAGCACAAGAAACATTTTACAGTAGTCTTAATTTTAATGAAGAGCAGATTATCTGTGCAACTCCTCAACCATAGGAGACCAACTACTTTCACCTTGTCATTAGAATGAAGGAAAAATCCATATGCTACATAAAGCCCTAAAACAATTTGACTATACGCTCATTCACACTGAAATAAACCAAATGTATTCTTTTTAACCCTTAATTTTAATTTTAAAGAGAAAAAATGAAAAGGAAGAGATCACCAAAAAGAAGAAGGGGAAAAGGTAACAAAAGCACCTTATGACCTATACAACTCAGCTAAAAGAGTCGCATTTGAGTAAGCAGCCTGTTAATGTTGGACTTTAAAAGCTAACTGACAGACATTTGGTCAGCCTTAAACTTCTTGGATGTGTGCACTGTGAACTTATAAGCCATTGTCTTATTAATGTTACAAACACAACCAGTCATGGTTCATACATAAGAAGAAGAAAGAATTTACAGACCTCTTCTCTGCTAGCAAGCAAAAACCGAAGGATGCTTGGATCTGTCTCATTTACATACTCCTCCTCATTAATCCTTTCGCCCTCACTTTCCACAATTTCTTTGCACTTGTTAATGAGTTCTTCAACGGTTTTTCTGATCAATGTAACTGCTTTTTCAGCTTTTATTTGTCTTGGGATTATTTTACACAAAGCATTAATCTACACCAAACAAAAAAGAGCCTGGTCACAATTTAGAACTAAGTAGATCAGAAAAAAGAAAGAAAAGGGTACAAGAACATGCCTTCCAATACGGTAACAGATCAGTGGAACGAGCCTCTGCTTCTTTTAACGAAGTGTAAACAGCATCAATAACCGGACTATCAGTGGTAAGGGAGTCAAAATTGTAGTTGAACAATGCTAGACCAATAACATCGAGAGTTAATTGAGAAAAATTTTCCTCCATGTTCACAGCAGAGCCATTGAGTGCATTGGTTTTGAGCTTTTCCACCAATCTCTCAGCACATTTGCAAAATACCCGATCAACTATTACTGATAAGTATGTCTTGTGAAGCGATGGAACTACTGCCCTGCGCCTCACCTATCAAAAATTAGAATATATGCTGAAAAGGCTGGGATCGAAATTGGATAGAGCATATTGATTATTGAACTTCAAACAGTGAGTGCCACTGATTGAAAGCTTATAATGTAACAATATTTATATATATATATTAAGCATTACTATGACCACATTCCAAAGCACCAAACCAGATTAAATTAATTCATAACTTGAAAAACTAACCCAACATATTAATCAATCTAGATATTATAGATAGATATGCAATAACCATCTTTTAAGAAAAACACCATGTTTTGCCAGAATGAAAAATTCAACACCATGAATCCAGGCTTACTATGGAATTTTAAACGGACCATTGTAATTAACATAGCATTTGAAGGGTAATACTAAAATCATGAACGATGCCATTTTAGTAAACAGGAACCAGCACCACAAGTAATGGTATCAGAACAAATTTTTAAATTTCCCTTGTAATGGCAGTACCAGTGCTGATGGTTTTCCATGTTAACCATTTGATGACACTTGATCTATCCACTTTCATCGTGATGCCACCAAATGCTCCATAACATGATAAAATTAAAAATGCCAAAGAGGGGCTGAAGCTATAACCTCTTATGGAGACTATAGACATATGGTGAAATCAAATTTCAATAAAATTTTAATTCACACCAAACCATAAAATGCTGCAGTTACCCAACATTGATGAATAAAATTCGTACCAAACATTGCCACTTATTGCATGAAATCCTGTATCAACAAAACTTACTTTTAGCTTACTCTGGATTTATCAAAAAATATGCAAATTTAGCCTAATAAAAAACGCAAATTCCACTAAACACCATGTTAGCTTGATATATATTTTTGGACCCATTTCCTAACATGACTTTTGGAACAATTATTGACTTAACATGGCTAGATCTCTAGTCCTTGAGGACCCTGGTTTCAAGTCTTGTTGCCCTGCTATCTCTATCATTGTGCAATCTGTTTCGCCTGTCTTTGTGCACCTTGTTTCTTGGGCTGCTTGTAGTGAAGCCTAAATACTAAAGTAATGTAAAGTATATGAGTGTGAGGTCACCCTCGCCTTAACGTTCTGTTTGGTTGATTGGAATGAGACAGAATGGAATGGAATGATCATTTTCTAAGCTCTTCTATGGAATGACATTTCCTTATAATGGTGAATGATGATTCCGTTTGCAATATAATTTTTTTAATCAACCAAAAATGGGAATGGACAATTTGAGGGAATGGCATTTCATTCCATTGAACCAATCACTACCTAACAGTTTGTTTTTGGTATTGAATTCTATGCAAGACCATGTAACACAGTAACAAAGCTCAAATACCTAGGATAGGTAGGGTGTGTGTCCCTGACCTGCACGCGGCAGGTGCTACCGAGTAAGCACGTTGTGCTTGAAGAAGTGTGTGAGTCTCACATCGCCTAAGTAGGCACCCAAGTAATGTGAACCACATAACCCAGAGGGCACCCTCACTGGTATCGCACATGAAGGAATATTAACTTGATATATTTGCACCAAATTCGCAACATTTTCAAGTTTTTAGAACAAATTGGTGACTTAACAAGCCATAAATGTAGCAATTACCTTACATTGGCGAACCAAAATTGTAACTAAACACAACCACAATATCACATGATGAAATTCAATACCAAATCATAACAATTTCGTACAATTAATTCGACACCAACACCAAAATTCAAGGGCATTACCGTCCAGAGCTGGCCTTCAGCGATGGCAAATCCTGATCCAAACAAAAATTCAGAGACCTCAGCAACAAGCCCCTTTGCATACTTGCCATAATTTCTCAACACATGCTTTGCAATGGCAGGGTCACTAACCACCACGAAATTCCTCGGCCCCGCGGCGAGGCGGTAAATGGGTCCGTATTCCTGCATCCACTTGAACAGTGGGAGGAAAAGAGCACCACCCAGAAGCTCAGAAACATCTTCGAGCTTAGCATTTGCAATGGGTATGCTTGAATCGTCTTTGCCAATGGATAGGGACTGAGCCAGAGAGGTGAGCCAGTCTGGGCTGACCCATGAACTCTGTTTGGTTGTGTTATTGGTGGGTTTTTCGGGTTTGTCAATGGAGGATTTGATTGAGAGAGATTTAGGGAGGTTTGTTGATGGGTAGGGAATGGTGGGTTTGTACAGGGGGTGAGGGAAGTGGGAGGGGTTTGCGTGGAGAGAGAAAGAAGAGAGAGAGAGTGAAGAAGGCATGTTTGGTGAAGATATGAATGAATGAATGAATGAGAGAATGGGGGGTTAAGATTAGTTAAGTTCTCTACTCTACTCTACCCCGTAATATCTGGTTTCTAGTACTGTTCCATCTTCGCAGTCTCACCACCATTTGAAGGATTGTTTCACTGCTGCTGCTTTTGGATTGTGTTCTTTCAGTGGACCGGCGTTAATTTTTATATACATGTATATATGTATATCTATATAAGAAATTTAACTAATTTTATTTTATTTTTTTTTTATTTTTATTTTTTTTATAAACATTTAATTTATGATAACATAAAAGAAATGTCTAAAGACCTATCTTTATACACCCACAAAATTTTAAGTAGGTAATTGTATGGTAGAAATTAATTTGTGTAGTCTGGGGTTCATGCGAGATCCATGTGTAGAATGAATATAAACTGAATCACAAGATAAAGATTATGAATAATTTCTAGGTTGATAAGAGTAGGTTCGTAGCACTAATGTAACACAAAAGATATTATATCAAATTAATTATTTTTCTTTAGTGATTTTACAATTATTTAACATATATTATCATTATAGATAATTTATCATTTTATTTTACATTAAAAGTAGAATCTTACGATTCTCGATCTAATTCTACAATCCAATCCACAAATCCTTTCCGACGATCCTACTTAGGATCCCAATTTTAATAACCTTGACTATTAGTGTTGAATAAATATTTTTGGGACTATTTAGCTGGAAATTATGTATATTTGACTATTAGTCCGACTTTCACTAAACTACATATTAGTTTGAAAATTGATTAGCAAATAGTAGAGTACCCCAAAACTTTTCTTCTCTTGGGGTTTCAAGAGTGTAGTTGTAGTCGGGATGGGAAAGGGGCTTCCAGCGGCCTCTAGCCTCCCTTCACCTCCTCTTTACCCCTCTTTTCTCTTCACTTTTGTCCAATAACTTGGAAGCTTTGGCTTTTTATCCTCTCATTCTTCTGTGAGATGTTTGTTTCCCTTCACTTTAACTCTGCCTGTGGTCTTCGCTGGATCCGCCGTCTCTCCTCTTCTCCGCCTCCTTTTAGCGTCATCTATCATCGCCAGACCTGCCGCCTTCTCCAAGCCTACCAGACGCCGCTTCCCTTTCCTTGCTCTGCCTCCTCCTCCTCCGCCGGATTCACTATCGCCGCTCCTAAAACTTTGGTTTGTGGGTTTGTCTTTTACCTTTTGTTTTTCTGATTTTCTATAGGTTTGTTTTGCTGTTATGTTTGTTTGTGAATCCATCGGTGGTGATGTTAAACTTACCTTCTCTGTGGTTGGGGTTTGTAATTTATCTCAGACATGCTCTATTGCCGAACTTTTATGATCAACTCTACTTTGCAATACGAGCACGAACACAAGATGTGCGTCTGAATATTTTTATAGGTTCTTTCCTATATGCTTCTTGCTTTATTTTTCCTTTGTTTGATGTAAGTTTTGGGTTGGATAGACTCTTGTAAGTATTGTTTGGCTTTCCTTAATGGATTTTTCTTCAAATTAAAAAAAAAAAAAACCAAATGATGAATTAATGAATTTATTAAACATGGAGTTCAATCACATACCTCAATACCATGAAACAAATGACCTCTAAGGTCATGTTTGTTTGGACGGAGTTGATAAGGGGAGGTTGTGATCCATTGGACTCTTAATCTTGGAATATATAGTCATTGGACTATTTTGTTAGAAATGATGTGTATCCTATGTTTGTTTTATTATAGCTTGGATCTGTCTCATTTACATACTCCTCCTCATTAATCCTTTCGCCCTCACTTTCCACAATTTCTTTGCACTTGTTAATGAGTTCTTCAACGGTTTTTCTGATCAATGTAACTGCTTTTTCAGCTTTTATTTGTCTTGGGATTATTTTACACAAAGCATTAATCTACACCAAACAAAAAAGAGCCTGGTCACAATTTAGAACTAAGTAGATCAGAAAAAAGAAAGAAAAGGGTACAAGAACATGCCTTCCAATACGGTAACAGATCAGTGGAACGAGCCTCTGCTTCTTTTAACGAAGTGTAAACAGCATCAATAACCGGACTATCAGTGGTAAGGGAGTCAAAATTGTAGTTGAACAATGCTAGACCAATAACATCGAGAGTTAATTGAGAAAAATTTTCCTCCATGTTCACAGCAGAGCCATTGAGTGCATTGGTTTTGAGCTTTTCCACCAATCTCTCAGCACATTTGCAAAATACCCGATCAACTATTACTGATAAGTATGTCTTGTGAAGCGATGGAACTACTGCCCTGCGCCTCACCTATCAAAAATTAGAATATATGCTGAAAAGGCTGGGATCGAAATTGGATAGAGCATATTGATTATTGAACTTCAAACAGTGAGTGCCACTGATTGAAAGCTTATAATGTAACAATATTTATATATATATATTAAGCATTACTATGACCACATTCCAAAGCACCAAACCAGATTAAATTAATTCATAACTTGAAAAACTAACCCAACATATTAATCAATCTAGATATTATAGATAGATATGCAATAACCATCTTTTAAGAAAAACACCATGTTTTGCCAGAATGAAAAATTCAACACCATGAATCCAGGCTTACTATGGAATTTTAAACGGACCATTGTAATTAACATAGCATTTGAAGGGTAATACTAAAATCATGAACGATGCCATTTTAGTAAACAGGAACCAGCACCACAAGTAATGGTATCAGAACAAATTTTTAAATTTCCCTTGTAATGGCAGTACCAGTGCTGATGGTTTTCCATGTTAACCATTTGATGACACTTGATCTATCCACTTTCATCGTGATGCCACCAAATGCTCCATAACATGATAAAATTAAAAATGCCAAAGAGGGGCTGAAGCTATAACCTCTTATGGAGACTATAGACATATGGTGAAATCAAATTTCAATAAAATTTTAATTCACACCAAACCATAAAATGCTGCAGTTACCCAACATTGATGAATAAAATTCGTACCAAACATTGCCACTTATTGCATGAAATCCTGTATCAACAAAACTTACTTTTAGCTTACTCTGGATTTATCAAAAAATATGCAAATTTAGCCTAATAAAAAACGCAAATTCCACTAAACACCATGTTAGCTTGATATATATTTTTGGACCCATTTCCTAACATGACTTTTGGAACAATTATTGACTTAACATGGCTAGATCTCTAGTCCTTGAGGACCCTGGTTTCAAGTCTTGTTGCCCTGCTATCTCTATCATTGTGCAATCTGTTTCGCCTGTCTTTGTGCACCTTGTTTCTTGGGCTGCTTGTAGTGAAGCCTAAATACTAAAGTAATGTAAAGTATATGAGTGTGAGGTCACCCTCGCCTTAACGTTCTGTTTGGTTGATTGGAATGAGACAGAATGGAATGGAATGATCATTTTCTAAGCTCTTCTATGGAATGACATTTCCTTATAATGGTGAATGATGATTCCGTTTGCAATATAATTTTTTTAATCAACCAAAAATGGGAATGGACAATTTGAGGGAATGGCATTTCATTCCATTGAACCAATCACTACCTAACAGTTTGTTTTTGGTATTGAATTCTATGCAAGACCATGTAACACAGTAACAAAGCTCAAATACCTAGGATAGGTAGGGTGTGTGTCCCTGACCTGCACGCGGCAGGTGCTACCGAGTAAGCACGTTGTGCTTGAAGAAGTGTGTGAGTCTCACATCGCCTAAGTAGGCACCCAAGTAATGTGAACCACATAACCCAGAGGGCACCCTCACTGGTATCGCACATGAAGGAATATTAACTTGATATATTTGCACCAAATTCGCAACATTTTCAAGTTTTTAGAACAAATTGGTGACTTAACAAGCCATAAATGTAGCAATTACCTTACATTGGCGAACCAAAATTGTAACTAAACACAACCACAATATCACATGATGAAATTCAATACCAAATCATAACAATTTCGTACAATTAATTCGACACCAACACCAAAATTCAAGGGCATTACCGTCCAGAGCTGGCCTTCAGCGATGGCAAATCCTGATCCAAACAAAAATTCAGATACCTCAGCAACAAGCCCCTTTGCATACTTGCCATAATTTCTCAACACATGCTTTGCAATGGCAGGGTCACTAACCACCACGAAATTCCTCGGCCCCGCGGCGAGGCGGTAAATGGGTCCGTATTCCTGCATCCACTTGAACAGTGGGAGGAAAAGAGCACCACCCAGAAGCTCAGAAACATCTTCGAGCTTAGCATTTGCAATGGGTATGTTTGAATCGTCTTTGCCAATGGATAGGGACTGAGCCAGAGAGGTGAGCCAGTCTGGGCTGACCCATGAGCTCTGTTTGGTTGTGTTATTGGTGGGTTTTTCGGGTTTGTCAATGGAGGATTTGATTGAGAGAGATTTAGGGAGGTTTGTTGATGGGTAGGGAATGGTGGGTTTGTACAGGGGGTGAGGGAAGTGGGAGGGGTTTGCGTGGAGAGAGAAAGAAGAGAGAGAGAGTGAAGAAGGCATGTTTGGTGAAGATATGAATGAATGAATGAGAGAATGGGGGATTAAGATTAGTTAAGTTCTCTACTCTACTCTACTCCGTAATATCTGGTTTCTAGTACTGTTCCATCTTCCCAGTCTCACCACCATTTGAAGGATTGTTTCACTGCTGCTGTTTTTGGATTGTGTTCTTTCAGTGGACCCGCGTTAATTTTTATATACGTATGTATATATGTATATATAAGAAATTTAACTATAATTTTTTTTTTTTAATAAACATCTCTTTTAATTTATGATAACATAAAAGAAATGTGTAAAGACCTATCTATCTTTATTCACCCACAAAATTCTAAGTAGGTAATTGTATGGTAGAAATTAATTTGTGGTGTGGGGTTCATGCGAGATTCATGTGTAGAATGAATATGAACTGAATCACAAGATGAAGATTATGGATAATTTCTAGGTTGATAAGAGTAGGTTCGTAGTACTACTGTAACATAAAAGATACATTATATTAAATTAATTATTTTTCTTTAGTGATTTTACAATTATTTAACATATGTTATCATTATAGATAATTTATCATTTTATTTTACATTAAAAGTAGAATCTTACGATTCTCGATCTGATTCTACAATCCAATCCACAAATCCTTTCCGTCGATCCTACTTAGGATCCCAATTTTAATAACCTTGACTATTAGTCTTGGATAAATATTTTTGGAACTATTTAGCTAGAAATTATGTATATTTGACTATTAGTCCGATTTTCACTAAGCTACATATTAGTTTGAAAATTGATTAGCAAATAGTAGAGTACCTCAAAACTTTTCTTCTCTTGGGGTTTCAAGAGTGCAGTTGTAGTCGAGATGGGAAAGGGGCTTCCAGCGGCCTCTAGCCTCCCTTCACCTCCTCTTTACCCCTCTTTTCTCTTCACTTTTATCCAATAACTTGGAAGCTTTGGCTTTTTGTCCTCTCCTTCTTCTGTGAGATGTTTGTTTCCCTTCACTTTAACTCTACCTGTGGTCTTCGCTGGATCCGCCGTCTCACCTCTTCTCCGCCTCCTTTTAGCGTCATCTATCATCGCCAGACCTGCCGCCTTCTCCAAGCCTACCAGACGCCGCTTCCCTTTCCTTGCTCTGCCTCCTCCTCCTCCGCCGGATTCACTATCGCCGCTGCTAAAGCTTTGGTTTGTGGGTTTGTCTTTTACCTTTTGTTTTTCTGATTTTCTATGGGTTTGTTTTGCTGTTATGTTTGTTTGTGAATCCATCGGTGGTGATGTTAAACTTACCCTCTCTGTGGTTGGGGTCTGTAATTTATCTCAGACATGCTCTATTGCCGAACTCTTATGATCAACTCTGCTTTGCAATACGAGCACGAACACAAGATGTGCGTCTGAATATTTTTATAGGTTCTTTCCTTTATGCTTCTTGCTTTATTTTTCTTTTGTTTGATGTAAGTTTTGGGTTGGATAGACTCTTGTAAGTATTGTTTGGCTTTCCTTAATGGATTTTTCTTCAAATTAAAAAAAACAAAAAACCAAATGATGAATTAATGAATTTATTAAACATGGAGTTCAATCACATACCTCAATACCATGAAACAAATGACCTCTAAGGTCATGTTTGTTTGGACGGACTTGATAAGGGGAGGTTGTGATCCATTGGACTCTTAATCTTGGGATATATAGTCATTGGACTATTTTGTTAGGAATGATGTGTATCCTATGTTTGTTTTATTATATAATTAGATGTCTGAAAATGACTATTCTATTGAATCTAATGTTTGATTGAAATATTATGAAGAATGATAAATGCTTAATAGATTATTTACTCTTTTAAATTGTTTACTTAGTAATAGCAATACTAAATCTGTATTTAATATTTTAATTATTTTTGGTAGATTAAATAAAAATTATTTTATTTTATGTTATAAAAATTAAATGAATTTATTTTCTTTAATTGACTAAATTAAATAAATAAAAAATCAATAAAAATTTATGTTATTTTTAAAATAAAATTTTAAATAAATTTATTTTAAAAATTAATAAATAATGAAATGAAATAAAAATTAAATAAAATATCAACAAAAATTTAAAATAAAACATCAATAAAAAATCTATAAAAATTTATTTAAAAAATTAAGTAAATAAACATCAATAAAATTAAATAAATAAATTTATTTTATTTTATTTTTTAATTGATATTTTTTTATTTCATTTTAATAAATAAAATACGTAATGAAATCAAATATATAGAGGGTAAATGTGTCATTTTATAATTTAATCCTATGGGATTCCAATCCCACTATTTCTATCTCACATCCCCTAGGATACAATGGTGAGAACTTCTAGGCCGGATTAGGAGTCGGGAGCTTCTATTTACACACACCAACCCACTCTATACACACACTTAATGAAGAGGATGTGCAAAAAGTGTAGTAAGGAGGATGTGCAAAAAGTGTATATTGTGTGCGCAAATAGAAGCTCCCTTAGGAGTCCCATCGGACTATAAATCGCATATATGTTGGACTATGGTCTCCTAGGGAATATGAGATAGAAATGGTGGCATTGGAATCCCAAGGGATTAAATTGTAAAATGACACATTTACCCTCAAAATATTTGATTTCGTTATGTATTGTATTTACTAAAATAAAAAAATATATAAAAATATCAATTAAAAAATAAAATAAAATAAATTTATTTATTTAATTTTTATTGATGTTTATTTACTGAATTTTAAATAAATTTTTATAGATTTTTTTTATGGATGTTTTATTTTAAATTTTGGTTGATATTTTATTTCATTTCATTATTTAATTTTTATTCATTTTTTATTTCATTTCATTATTTAATATTTATTATTTTTTAAAATAAATTTATTTAAAATATTATTTTTAATTTTTTATTTATTATAGCCAAAAAAATATTAAAATGTAAAAGAAAAATTTAGTATTATTATTATTTAGTAAACAATTAAAAATGGTAAAATAGTCAATTGAATATTTATCCTTCTTCATAATATGGGAAATTTTACTTACACAACATATATTTATCCCGTTACACCCTCCATTTGAGTTTTTTTTTTTTTTTCAATGTTATTCTTGCATGAAATTACCTTTAAGGACAAAATATAAAAATTAAATAAATTTAATTATCTTTTTACACCCATTACACTTCAATCCCTACTTTTTTTCTTCCTTTCTCATTTCTTCTTCTCTACCGTACATCTACTTTCAAAAAGTGAGAATCATAGTGTTTTGATCATAAAGTAAAGTAATGGACGAATAAATGGTGATGAAGGACTAGCAAAAAAGTAAAATTGTGAGTTTTTTTCTTTATTTTTCTTTGTTATTTTTTTAATTTTTTTTTAAATTTTTTTAAATTTTATTTATTTATTTATTTGTTTATTTATTTTTATGTTTTTGTTTTGTTTTTTAAGAGGAATGTTTAACTTTTGTTCGGTGTACCAAAACCAAACAAAATCAAATAACCTGGAATCAAACTATTGAACAAAAAATACATATCCGGTAATCCACTACCGAATAAAAAATAATTATTCAGTAATCTACTGCCAAACAAAAATTACATGTCCGGTAACTCACTGCTAAACATTTTAAGTATCATTTTTCTAACATTTTTATTTTTTCTGTTTTGAAGGATTATGTTTCTATTCATTGTAGTAAGACTAGTAGTGTATTTTTAAGTACAGTTATGAATTCATTACAGGCGAGATTTGTTAGATTTATCTGCTTCCTAGTCATGTAATACCTCTGAAAGCAAGTAATTAGATTCGTTTTCATCACCTGTGTACTAATGTATGGGAGAAAGTATATACTACTCGTGTTGATCAATTTCGTACGCTTGTCAACCCTGATGTAATAACTATTGAAAATATCAACATAGATATATTATGATAATATCTCAGTGTGTTTCTATAAATGTTTGTATTAACAAATTTGAAGATATTTGTATTGGAAAATTTTATGAATGTTTTTATGGATGTTTGTACACTTCATGTTTTTATAGGTTCTTGATGTTTTGAGGAAAATAAATCTGTAAACGTGTAGCACAGATGCTGAAAAATTTTAGTTTGTTCGGTAATATGACATCGGAATAATCTAAATTATTTGATCATGTATAACTGAATACGCCCATCATAAATTTAGAAAAAAAAATTAATATTTTAAAAAAAGTGAATCTGTAAATATGCGACAACAGATGGCTGGACAAATATAGTTTGTTCGATAATATAACACTGGAGTAATTCAAAAAGAATAAGTGCAATGAGAAAATCTATAATTGTTTGAAAAGGGTTCAATTTAGGGTTAGTTTTGGTATTATAAATGGTGTAATGAGAATTTCAACTATTTTTAGGGATTTTTGGTAATAAGTCCCTCAATTTCAAACTTTTTTGCCAAAAGGACAAGCTAAAAACATTTAATTCATTAAGGACAAAATTCAAAATATTTTAAAAACATGACAATAATACCCTCAACTTCTATCATTTTCTTACATTACCACAACCACCATTGACCATTGTTTGGCATCATTGACCATCGCCGGCCACCATTGATCACCTCGACCGGCGACAATTTCCGGCAACCACTGCTGGTCAGCGAAAATTTTCTGGCAAGATTCTCTGGTGACAGTAAAATTTTACTCTATTAGATAGTAAAATTTTACTCGGTTAATTTAGACAATAAAATTTTGCTATTTACTTTAAACATATAAATAGTGAATTTTTCCATTGTTATCACTAACTACTACACTTACTATAATTATTACCATTATTCATATAGATATTAAATGAGAAATAAGTCAAAACGTTGAATTAATAATGTTAACAAAAATTTAACTCTTACATAGAGTAAAATTTTACTCTATATTAGAATAAGATTTTACTATTTCGCTATTGAATGTACTAAAATAACATTTTCATTTGAGATCTCAAAATCAATATTCAAACTGATAATGACAAAAAAATGTACTAAAATAAAAATATATGTATATAGAGAGAAAGAGAAAAAGATAGAGAAATAGAGAGATAGAGAGAGCACACATATTGCCTCAGATCTGGTTCAAACTAGAGTAAAATTTTATTATCTGAAAAATAGAGTATCATGACGAGACAAAGAGAAATAGAGGGAGGGAATATAGATATAAGACGATAGATTTCAGATTTGATGTC